CTGGTCTCTGGTGGGGGAACTAGGGGGCTTCCCTGGTGGCTCAGATGGTAAAGAATCTGCCTGCAATGCGGGAGACCTGGGTTGGATTCCTGGGTTGGAAAGATCCCCTGGAGAAGGAAATGGCAACCCACTCTAGTATTCTTGCCTACAATTCACATAAGATTCCACATGCCAGGTGGCATGCCAAATAAAAAAATATTTTTAAAAAATAATAAAAATGTTTAAATAAAATAAAAATAATAAAGAGTTACAAATTCATGTGTTTTGAGTTCAGTTTTAATGTGGGTGGGAAGGGGAGCTCCTTGCAAGTATTCAGTGAAAACAAAATTGAAATATTGATTTCTTCTGTTTCCTACCTTTCTAATCAGTTCAGTTCAGTTCAGTCACTCAGTCGTGTCCGACTCTTTGCGACCCCATGAACCACCTTTCTAAACAGGAAATACACAAATCTTATATTCAGTATTAAAAATATATAGAAAAACAAGTAATGTTTGTGCTTAGTTTAAAACCTCAAAAAGTTGGAAATTCCCCTTAAAATTTTCTCTAAGTGGAAATGTTCCTTAAACAGAGACCAGGTGTTTGAATACATGAGAAGGTTTTGTACAGTTGTGTTACTGATGTAAATTTATTTCTCTTGTCAGACTTCTTGAATCATTAGGACTTTACCTGTTTAAAGTAATTCTATGATTTACACAAAGATCCATTACTCATGTGTAATACCTAGGTACTGAAAAAAAATGAGTGAGAGAAGTGCCTAAAGAGATTATGGACTGCTATGAACTGAACTGGGTTCCCTTGGGAGTAATAGTGGCCTCTGAGCCAAGTCTTGTCATTATTCAGTTGCCAAGTGGTGTCCGACTCTTTTCGACTCTTTTTGACCCCTTTGCAATCCCACAGATTGCAGCACTGCAGGCTTCCCCGTCCTTCACCATCTCCGAGACTTTGCTCAAACTCATGTCCATTGAGTTGGTGATGCCATCCAATCATCTCATTCTCTGTTACCCCCTTCTCCTCCTGCCTTCAATCTTTCTCAGCATCAGGGTCTTTTCCAACAAGTTGGCTCTTTGCATCATGTGGCCAAAGTATTGGAGCTTCAGTTTTAGCATCGAGCCTTCCAGTGAGTAGTCAGGGTTGATTTCCTTTAGGGTTGATGGTTTGATCTCCTTGCAGTCCAAGAGCCAAGTCTAGGGTATTTTGTTAAGTCAGCCAAACAGAGTGTTAACTTCCTAGGGGAAAATTTATTCCATGAAGACAGCTACAACACTAAATTACCTGGCTCTGTGTCCCTGTGTCACTCCAACCTAATAAACATTCATCAAAGTATTATATTTGAGGGACTACCCTGGTGGGCCAGCGGTTAAAACTCTGCACTTGCACTGCAAGGGGCTCAGGTTCCATCCCTGGTCAGGGAACTAAGATACTAAGATCCCACATGTCTTGAAGTGTGGCCAAAAAAAAAAAAGAGAGAAATCCCTTGAAAGAACAAAAAATGAACAGAGCTCATCAATCTACTAGATAGAACCTGAGTTCCAAAAAAATTGACAAACTTCTAGCCAAAAGAAGAATTTTCTAAACAAATAAAAACTAAAAGTTAAAAATAAAGTTAGAAAAAGATCAACATAATATCTCCAAATTAAACAAAAGCTGTTAAATAACAGCAACAACAAAAACAAAAAAGATACTGGCATCCCAGTTAGCACTGGTGGTAAAGAACCCATCCGCCATTTCTGGAAATGTAAGGGACTTGGATTTGATCCCTGGGTGGGAAGACCTCCTGGATAAGGGAATGGCACCGCACCCCAGTATTCTTGCCTGGAGAATCCCATGGACATAAGAGCCTGGCCGGGCTACAGTCCATGGGGTCTCAAAGATTCAGACATACTGAAGCAGCTTAGCATGCACACACACACGGAAGGACCACAAACTCTGGAACCAATAGGAACCCCTGGGAATTTCTACTCTGGGGGGTTTCAAACTTCATATGGAAGACCCCTTTAGGGCCTGCTGCAGGAACAGGAGAGTTGTTTATTGATCATCAGCTGTACGCCAGCGAGTGCTGAGCATCTCTTCTCTGGTAACAGGCCTGTTTATCTCAGCAGACACCTTGACTTTTTGGTTCACAGGCCACCCAACCACACAGGGCCACAAATAAATCTAATGGAAAGGACTGTGCCTTATTTGGGGTGGGGACTTTGGGCTGTCTCTCTTGGAGAATGGGTAAGTGTTCCCAGGATGAGAATGAAACAGATGCTGTGTCTAGGAAGGCACGCCGTGCTGAGCCTAGAGACCTGCTCAGTAACTCCGGGTTCTCTGTCCTGAGCATACATGCTTCGCTTTCCAGCAGCACTCCTGGCTTGGGGTTGCTGCATGGCTAACTTCTAGCCAGCGACGTGGGAGCAGAGTGACGTGTGCCAGGCCATAAACTTCCCATGAGCAACTCCCCCTGCCTTCTCCCCAGATGCCAGCTTGCTCCTCACTTGCACAGGAACCATGGAAGCCATGCAGTGAAATTGGCGGGGCCTCAGTAGAAGCCTGGTATGTGAATTACTATTAAGAGACCAGACCGTCAACCAGATCAAATGCTTGGAGCTTAATACAGGAGAGAGAAACAATGTCTAGAATTTATTCATTCAGAGGCTCTCAGTATAGCAACCAGCATATACCTCAAAAATACAGTGATGGAACAAAGACACACCCAGGCAGCCTGGCTCCACACCTGTGCTATGCCACATGCTGCTCCCTACAAACATAAGGTGTGATCATGAACCACGGCTTTTGACATGCTGATGAGGGCTAGGAGCCAAAGACTCGGTTTTCTTCCTCCTGGTTTCCTCCTTGAGCCCCAGTGAAAGCTGGAAGACAGTACTACCAGCAAATATGCGATTGGTTGGAGAATCTTTGTTTAAAGGATATAAACTGAATAGCTTTTGTAAATGACATGACCATTCGGCATCATCAGTATGCATTTGGCTACAATGATTTCAGTTAAACCACAAATAAATCCATAAAATGCTGGAGTTGGCACCTAAGATCATCTTTCCAAATCCATCATTTTACATGAAAGGGAAAGGATCAGAATCAGGTATGCTGACCAATATCATACAGGTACTGAAAGACCAGGGCCCAGGCCTCCCAGTACCACCCATTGCTCTTTTGAGTCACGTGCAAAGGCCCTGTGGTCACAGACGCTCTGTGGGGCTCCTCTGTGGGCTTTAGTAACTTCTGAGCCTGGAGGATACATGTATTTACAATATAATGTTGCTGTTGTCAGTCACTGTCATGTCTGACTCTATGACCCCATGGCCTGCAGCACACCAGGCCTCCCTGTCCCTCACTATCTCCCAAAGTTTGTCCAAGTTCCTGTCCACTGAGTTGGTGATACCACCCAACCATCTCATCCTCTGCTACCCTCTTCTCCTGCCCTCAATCTTTCCCAGCATCAGTGCGTTAGTCGCTTAGTTGTATCCGACTCTTTGTGACCCCATGGACTGTAGCCCACCAGGCTGTCCAAGGAATTCTCCAGGCAAGAATACTGGACTGGGCTGCCATTCCCTTCTCCAGGGGATCTTCCTGACACAGGGTCTTTTCCCCTGAGTCAGTTCTTCGCATGAGGTGGCCAAAGTATTGGAGTTTCAGCTTCAGCATCTGTCCTCCCAATGAGTATTTGCGGTTGATTTCCATGATGTTCTATCAAATCACATCATTTAATAAAAAATGTTAATGTGGGCCCAGAATTGTGTGCTCCATACCAAAGACACAGGAATGATAAGGGACTTTCTGCCCTGGGTCTTCCTGGAGCTCATGTTTTCACGGAAGCAGAAGAAACATGACAGCCACACCGCACGTGGAGGCGCGGGGTGCGGCCACACCGTGCATGGGGGTGCGGGGTGCGGCCACACTGCACGTGGAGGTGTGGGGTGCAGCCACGGGGCGCTCGGGGGACAATTGTGAGCAGACCGAAGAGACGAGGCCTTTGTTCTTTCCCTTTCAAACTAAAGTTGACTCCGAGGGGCCAGGTCCTGTCACCAGATTCTGGACGGTGGCCTGGACACATGTGCTCGGCTTCCCTGTTTCTCCGTTGTAGATGCAGTGACTTCGTAAAACTAACCTCCGGGCTTACGTCTCGTTGCCTTAAAGCTCTGCGCTAGCTCCCTCCCCTCCCCCAGAGAAGAGAAAGAACGCCTAGAGGCTTGTAGAAGCAGGGGCTTCGGGCTGGTGGACAGCGGTGCCCTGGCACCTGCTGTGGGCAGGGAGCTCCAAGCAGAGGTCAGGGGCGGCTGGGCGACCCCGGACCTCCCATCAGCACATGCAGTTGTGGGGGGGAGGTGCGGGGGGCTACACCCTGTCACACAGAACACCTCCAAGGTCCTGTCTGTACACCCCACCCTGGACGCCAGCCTGAGCAGAGGCCCGAGGAGTCCGGTGGCTCCTGTGGTGGGTGGTGGGCAGTGCAGCCTCGGGCGTGTTCTGCATCAGTTTTGGAATCAAGCTCTAGTTCTTTCAAAGCCTCACACTTGGAATCTGTAAGCAGACGCCTCGACCCCTTGGGGCTTCTCGTCTGTGTCCCATGAGGCTGTGCCCCCACACCCCAGGCCTCAGGGGCTGGGTTGCAGCCCTGGCAGCTGTCTGGGGTGCTCCCAGCTCCCTGGCCGAGGCCCCGCCGGCCCCGCCCCCGTCACCTGTCCCTGGCGCCCGGCCTCAGCTGCTCCTGCTCCGGAGACCGCCTGAGTCCTGCTGGGGCCAGCACACACACCCAGCCTCCCCCTGCCCCCAACAAGAGGCTGTGCTTTTGTTGTTGTGGTTCCCACAGCATTCTCCCCGGGAGGCAGCCAAGGGCCAGAAGCTCGCCTGGCGTTTCTGGGTGGGCTCTCTGTCTTCCACGAAGGCCACTTGGACAGCAGTGTCATCCGCGGTCAGTCTCCGTCTAGGCCCTGCCTTGGCCTGTGACCCCTGACCTTCCCATCAGGGTGGGGTTGAGCCGAGCCTTTGGGCCTCGTTGCTCAGCTGCTGCTGGTTCCCAGGGGCCACGTGAATTCCGCGTGGTCGTTCCAGCCGTCACCCGCCTGGACTCCGGGACCCCACGTGGTCCGATGGGCCCAGAGAGACACGACAAGCAGCTTGGGGGACCCGGGATGGACGTGGAGGCAGCCAGATGTCCAGTCCTCCCAGCCCATGCTGGTCAGGAGACCCTGCCAGCTTGCGGCTCCCAACACAGCATCCACTGGCGTCTCCTCACCAACCGAATCCTCCCAGGCCACGGTCCACACGTCTGGGGCCCGGCTCAGCGTCTGGAGGCAGAATGTCACTGGGGAAGCCGGAGGCCTGACGTGAGACTCTGCTGGGGCCTCAGTTTTCTCGGGCGTACACGGGGCACTGCCCTCTGCCTCTCACGGGCCTCCAGCAGCCTCGTGGCAGATTTCGGCCTCCTCCCGCGGGCTCTGGGGCCGGCACTTGCGTTTCCTCATGGTCCACACCACCGGCCCTCGATGTGACCTGGCGGAGCGCAGGGGACAGGTGACCGTGTCCAGAGCTCGGTGGCTTCTGGGGGTGGGGTACTGTCACCCCTGCAGGGGCAGGGGGCCCTGAGCTCCGTTTATACTGAAAGACCAGGGGTGTGCCTCCCCAGCATCTGTGAAGGCAGGTTTGGGGCCCAGGCTGCAACCTTGGGGCTCTGGAGCCCGGGCACCCTGGTTCTGCCACGTCAGCCTTCTGGGCCGACTCCACTCCTGATCACACTACTGACAGGTGTCCTGAGCATTCCTGCTTGTTGGTTAATTTTATTTTTAAGCCAGATTTTGGCATAACAGGCGAGTGTGTGTCCAGCTGTTGTGCTTCACTTCACCCTCACGTCTCCCTGATGGGAGGGCACCGTGTTTATTTATTGTGGGGCGATATGCAGCCGTGCTGCCCCTTGGGTTCCGGCCGCATCAGCCGCCCGCCACGATGTCGCGTGTGTGTGACTTTGCGCCTTTCTCTTCTGTTAACGCTGTTAATGCTAACGTGTTACGCTTAGCTGGTTTGGGATGGGGAGTTTTGTGTTTTGCTGGGGGAATTTGTTTTTTAAGAATTGGAATTATACGCACTACTGATGGTCAAAAAAAAAAAAACAAAAACTATAGTTGAGATGCCTTATTTTTTCCAAGTGTCTTCCAGAAGCTGCTCAAGAGAAGCGTTCATTACTAATATAAGCTCACTAGTGGAACAGCTGACACATGGCTTCCCCAAACATGGGCAAAAAAACCTCACGGTGCTGCCCAAGAATATACAGCTGACCCGTGTTTGAACTGCACAGGTCCGCAGACACGCAGTACAATAAACACATAAAGTACAAGATTCAAGGGTGGTCAGAGGCCAACTCTATATTACATGCGGATTTTTGACTGTGAAGTGTCTGCGCTCCTAAGAACCTGAGTTGCTCAAGAGTCAGGTGGACTAACAGTCCAGGGAGAGCTTCACTAATCTCATACTTTCCAACACCCAAGTGAATAAAATATAATCACTCAAGATGTGATATGATGTTAGTCGCTCAGTCATGTCTGACTCTTTGCAACCCCACGGACTGCAGCCTGCCAGGCTCCTCTGTCCTTGTGGTAAAAACCTTTTTTCCTAGAGTTAAGACAAGATTCTGTGTTTGGGTAATGTTCTAAGACGTTATGATTGGGACTTCCCTGGTGTCCAGGAGTTAAGACCACACTCCCAATGCAGGGGGCACAGGTTCAATCTCTGGTCAGGAAACAGATTCCACATGCCACACAACACGACCAAAAAAAAGATGTTTTAACATTATAATTTATCATGTAAAACGCTCTATAACTGGAGATAGAATTCATATGTCTTCAGGGTTTTTAGAGTAAAATTTCAACTACCTATGATTTATTATTCCTTTCCTATAGTAAAAATGATAAAGCACTGTAGGATTATAAATATTCTGGCACATGTATTTAATAAAGACCTCTTTTGATGGCGAACAGATTCTTTTATTGGCAATCAAAAAACTTCACACTTACAATATGAAAATAAATGCTTCTCTAATGAAGAGCTAAATGAAAACTTTACAGGACCTTACAGGATTTTTAGTAGATACCACATGTACCTTAGAACACAGAACGTTAGCTTGATGGGATTGTGAGAGCGTGACTGAAAATGAGATGTCATTTATAAAATAGCTACCTCACAGCTTTCCCAAAGAGTAGTCCTCTGTAATTAAAACAAGAAACAAAATGCGTACTTCTACCTCCTTTTAAGATGTGACTGACAGCATATGTCAGTCTTAAACTTTATGATTTCAATGTTACTTTTTCAAGGCACTCAACAGAAACTAAATTCTCATCTTAGAATCATGAATCTGAGATTTGCAGTGAAGCTATAATTTCTCAGTATCAAAGTTTCATTATTACACAACAGTTCTGTTTCACAAACACCCTTTATCCTTCATCCTCTTCGCCTGCAGCCCTGATCACGCTAAGGAAGGTTTCTGCAGCTCATCTGAGACTACAGAGGGCTCTGCTGCTTCAGTCACAAAACCCTTCCTCGCTGTTTCCAGAAGAAATGCTGTTTTACCTTTTCTGTTTCTTTTCTACTATGAAAAACAGAGCTAAACAGAATCTTAGAATCTTATTTTCTGCTGGATGATTAAAATCTGTATTGCGTATGTCATTTGAAGTCTCTTAAAATCCAAAACTTTAGTGGAGGACAGTATGCTTTCCCTTGTTGTCACTTAATACAAGCAAAGCAAAAATAGAGCCCCATAGAAATTTCAACATTGAATTTTTTGTTAGTCGTAAAGCTTAGTAAGAGTCCAACAGCTTGATGTGTCAGTAGTCTCTGCATTATCTTTGATAGTTCATGATCTAGAAGACTACTTGTAGTCAAAAGCCCATCTTTCAAAAAGGTCCTATTTCCTCCGTAGTCTGTTTACAGAGTTCACTGCCTTGTTTATATATATAGGCATGTATATCTGTATACAAGATACATATAACCAGTGGTCGCACAACTGCCTTTACATATACAAGCACATACGTGTGTATGTAAGATATATGCTAGCAGCAGTAACTCAGCTCTTAGCTGTGCTCCATGAAAGCCACTTTACTTGACATGTAGAGGATGGCAATCATAGTCTCTGAGTCATTTTCAATCCACAAGCACACACACACACAGTTAACACTAGTCTCCTAAATGCTGTTGACAATTCAGAAAGACTGCTTTTCTAACTGAACTCTGAAAAAGAAGTGCTTTGAATTTAAATTTTTTAAAATACTTCAGTCTTCAATATTGAAACTGCTAAGTCACTCCATTTTTCCATGAAAAAAAGAAAACACGGATAATAGAGTTGGGGGGAAACTTCTTAAATGAGAAAATAAATTTGAGAAAACACCCTGTTACTAAATAGTAAGAAAAGAAGCCTACAGAGAGAAAATATTCCAAAAGAAAGGTAAAAGCTAGGTGGACTACCACAAATAATAGCATTATTTGTAACAACAATTAGAAATAAATGAAATCTTCAGTAACCGGACTGTAAAATATATTAGGAAGTGTCCAATTGATAAAGTATTATACAGCCATTAATGATGAGGAGGGATATGATGAAGAACATGGAACAGCTGACAAGGTGAAGCCAAATACAAAAAGGACCCTGCTGCACGGAACAGCTCCAATGGAAAAAACTAAGCAGGAATGTAATTTGCTGTGTCCCTGAATTAGGGGTAGTCTTCCTTTTACTGCAAAAACCAATAAAGCAATATAAAGCTTCTATATTGATTGTATCTTTTCTAAAAGAAAAGCAAAAAAAAAAAAAAAAACCTCAAAATGGATGAAATTACTGAAAAACAAGTCTGTGCAAGTAAATGTTCCGGAGAGGGGCATGAATCTGACTCCATCCAGAAACCAACGTGTCTTTCATCACTTGGGAGGCAGGACCTGACCCAGCCTGGTTCTCTCGAGAGGGAGGTGTCGTGAACAGACCCGGAAGAAGAGGGATGAGTGCCCAGCCAGAAGTTCTGTGGCCACAGCCCTGTCATTATTAACTAGGCCATAATTTGTCCCTTTTGAGCGACAACACACACTTTTGTGTTTCAAGACAAAATTTCACAAAAGTCTTTATTTTTCTTGCTACAGAAAAATTCAGAGGCGCTACTATTTCCGTCTCTTAATAAAGCAATTCTCAGCAATCAAGTCTTATATATTCTTAATGACAAAATGGTTAGTGTTAACCCTATGTAACATGTGATCAGAAAATAATTAAAAACCACGGGGTGGCAACTATCAGAAATAATACTGGACAGAGGATTACTAATAGAGCAATTTTCAATAGAAAACTAAGCATTTCCCTTGGGAAATAAATTTAATATTTTATTATTAAGCAACTGGGGCAAAAAAGATTAGATTTTCTGTAACTGCAATTGAACGGGATTAGAAAGGCTTCATGGGGATGAAGTTTTTTTGATGGTTTTATGATGACAATTACCACCTCCTAGCTAGTTTAGCTCTCCGAAGAAAATGTTCAATCAAAACGCTAAATCATACAAAGCACTTAACATTTTCAAACAGTTGCCTAATAACAAACTTTTAAAAGAGATTATCCATAGCAGTAGATTATGTTTATCAAATATTTGAACAAGCCACACTCAGAAACACTACAATGGAGCAGCTTACTGGTTTATGTGGTTCTCTGAAAAAATAGTCAGAAAGAGCTTGGCGTACTCAGTTTAAGGCTGACGGTTTACTTGCTGCAAGCCGTGTACCTTGCAGTTACATTCTCCCAGTTGATCACATTCCAAATGGCCTTCAGATAATCGGGCCTGACATTTTTATACTGAAGGTAATAAGCATGCTCCCACACATCAATCCCCAGCAGGGGGATAAGACCTATTGGAAAGAAGGAGAAAGAAACAAAAACCATGAGATTCACTCTGAAACGCCGCATCTCGCTTTAACCGTCCTACGCACACAGAATTACCCTTGGCCACATTCTCGTCCACTTCTCAGTTTCTTATATATGATATATATAGGAAATCTGCATAAGAATAAATATCCTAAAAGATTTTAAGCTTTACTCTTTGGAAGAAGAAAATGTGATAAATAGGAAAAGTAATTGAAACAGACCTGGGAAAAATCAACTAACCACAGTATTTAACAGATGTTCTTAAAATCAACAGATTTATCCAAGAGCCAGTTCTCAGTGGTCCTTACTAGGAGTCTCAAAAAGGGTGTGATTCATTTGCAGGGGTGGCTATGTGTATGCTAAGTCACTCAGTTGTGTCTGACTCTCTGCGACCCCATGGACTGCAGCCTGCCAGGCTCCTCTGTCCATAGGGATTCTCCCAGAAAGACTACTAGAGTGGGTTGCCATGCCCTCCTCCAAAGGATCTTCCCGACCCAGGGATCAAACCCAGGTCTCCAGCGTGCCTGAGTACCTTCCAAAGGTGCTGTGCATTCGTGGGGGGCTATGAAAAACCTGCTTTGCTCCCCTGGGCTAATGCTAGTCACAGAGATCACAAAGCATTTATGATGTGTGTGTAATAATTAATAAAAGTGAGTCACTTTCCTGTATAACAGAAATTAACACAACACTGTAAACCAACTATAGTTCAATAAAATAAATGAAGGAAAGTGTTTATATGCGGTATTAATATAAGTTAACAAGGAAAACTGAGTAAGACTTAAGGAAAAGATGCACATTTCAGAAATTAAGTAATTTAAATGAAGTGAAATGAAGAGAAGTCGCTCAGTCGTGTCTGGCTCTTTGCGACCCCGTGAACTGTAGCCTGCCAGGCTCCTCTGTCTATGGGATTTTCCAGGCAAGAATACTGGAGTGGGTTGCCATTTCCTTCTCCAGTATTCTTGCCTGTAATTAGCTAAATCTACAAAACATTCACTTAAGAAACCCCTCTAGGGACTTCCCTGGAGGTCCAATGGTTAAGAATCCATGCTTCTACTGCAGAGGGCGTGGGTTTGATTTCTGGTCAGCGAACTAAAATCCCACAGACCACACAGTACAGCCAAAACAAAAAAGAAACCTCTCCAACGGTAAGACCTCCTCTAAGAAAACAGTCATCAAACAATGTGTCTAAATCCCTCATGAGGTGTGCCACTAATCATTTATAATTAAGGCAACAAAATTCATATAAGACTTTTCCCATAAATAAACTGCCATGACTTTCATTTATCTTTATTTCTATTGGCTTTCTTCAAGCGGGGAGAAGGCTGTGTTGCTAAGATTCATCAATCACAGCCCTCTGGGTCAGGTACCTGACTCTAGAACACTCAGGGCTCACAAATCTTTGCTCTTCCCAATTCTGTGGCTCCAAAGAGAACGGCTTAGATTCTGGCTAAATCTGGACAGACCTGGGACAGTGAGTCACGTAAGGAAGTCTCCTGACACGCGCAGAGGTGGAAAATGAGGACGAGACCCACTGCTGACTGATGCAATCACCTTTCAGCAGAGTTCCAGCTGACTGCCGGATCCTTAGGCCTACTCCCTAAAGAGCTGCTACTTCCATCTGGCTCAACATGAAAAAGGATTTCGTGAGCCCACCCTGCAGCTTCGAAGCCCAGTCTCTTCCTGCGCCAAAGCCCTCAGCAAGGCAGACTCTGGAAACCCAAGCTCTGGTCCCAGTTTAGCCACAGGTGATCAGCAGAGGGGATGAGAGCCCAAGGTTTGAAGTCAGACCCAGCCTGTGTCTCTTTTCCTCCTTCATGTTGTTTATCTAACCTTAGATTTTTATTCTAGTGCATGTAATTATTCTGTACAAATTATCTATCAAATGAAGCAGAGCTTATGTTTAAAATCTTTTTTGTTAATGTATCTCTAAAATTACATGTGCTAATTTTATAAAATATCAAGGACCTGGAAAGCATTTTTGCTCACACAAGACTCTGGGTATCAGCTCCGAAGATCTGCTCAAAACGTATTCAGGAAGGTTTAAACACTGCTAGTCTTCAATTCACAGTTAATGCTTTATAACAAACCATCTCTCCAGAATAAAGAATTCTAACCTGTTGTTCCTTGCAGGGGATCCTGGTTAGAACAAGCAGCAATCTGCAAGCGTCCCTGCTCCTTACTGAAGCCAAGCCAACCCCAACCGGAGCCTTGGACACCAACAGATACAGCAGTCAACTTTTCCTTAAATTTGGCAAAGGAACCAAAGTCACGTTTGATGGCTTCCAGCAATTCCCCTATTAGAAACAACAAAAAAAAAAGGTTACAAAAACCACCCATGAATGAAGAGATTACAACAACTACAATAAAATATTTTAGTACATATATCAAATATTATTGTCTTATGGCCCAAGACACAACTAGACAACACAGAGAACCCTATGTAACCCAGCGAGCCTACAAAACAGTGTCACTCCTGCCCTGACTCGACAGTCATCAGGTCTCAGAATTTTAATTCACATGTGTGTTACTGAAACACGTTAGAGGGATTTTTTTCACTCACAGTGCTAGTTCCACAAGGAAAGTAAACAGTATTTTCCATTAGCTTTCTTTTTTTCCCTTCAACACAAGATTTTACTTTGAATCCTACCCTACCTACTCTGTCTCAATTTGGGAATAAAATGTTATGGCTGAGATTTCCTTCTCCAAGGCAGCCAAGATCTTTCCTATCTTAATTACTACATCATTTTAAAAAGGGTGATGTTGCCTCTTAAGTAAACGAAGGGTACACTTTAAGGGTTATCACCCTTTTTATTCTGCAGCAATACAGAATACAATTCTAGACTGAGCACATCAACTAAATCAACTAGGCCAAAAATATTACCTATTTTAATGGTCTAAGAGTAATCACCGAGGGACTTCCCTGGTGGTCCAGTGGCTAAGACTCTGTGCTCGCAATGCCCCAAGGCCAAGGTTTGCTGCCTGGCAGGGAACTAGACCCCACATGCCACAACTAAGACCCGGCACAGCCGAAAAAATAAATATTTAATTTCTTTTTAATTTTTAAAGTAATCATCTATTATAAGCACAAGTGATGAGATAAAGGGGCATGGAAAACACAAAAACAGCAGAGTGCCAAAACCCGCTGGATGAATATAGGTGTACGTTCACATACGAACACAGATATTCTGGTAACTCTCAACACCTCAAAAGTATTAAGTCACAGTCTGAAGATCTACCTCAGAAGAAAATTCTCCAGCTCCCCATACTTACTCCTCCAATCATCTTTACTTTCAAATGAAATTGCTTAATTCAAGTGAATAAGGTGCCTGCTAGAATATGATTAAAAGTGCCTCAGAAACTTAAGGTAGGTGCCAGAAGACCAGAGACAAAGGTGGAGAGCTCTGTTTATGCCCCATACCTTCCCTGAGATGGGAAGGATGAAGTTCCAGGACTCCACGCACCATACAGGAAATCAAGTGAACAAGCAGAGCAAACAAGCCCAGCAGCTCTGGACTCCTTTGTCACCTGCAGCTGTCCTGGAAAACCTATTTTTCTGGGACAATTTACTTTTTTATCAGTTACAAAGAGTAGTAAAATAATAGCAAAAGGCACTATTCTATAATGATATAATTTTTTAAAAAACTCTGTAATTATCCCCATATCATACAGATGAAGAAAAGTAAGATATGGAATGGTTAATATCTTCTCCCAGGGCCTAGAGCCAGTAAATGAAAATTCATCTTTCCTAAAAACTCAGTCTTCCCCTGATGCACAGTGCATTCTGACCAGGAGACTAAACCGCATGTGGTATTATATGTGTGTGTTTGTGCATAATTCCCTGGATGTATTCTGCACTCTCGCACGTGCCCCTCTGAAAGTTACAACTCTGCCGTACTCTCTGCTATGAGATGCCATCATGATACCTCAGGGAGAATGAAGGTAACTTAAGAAAATCAAGTCATTCCTACTGTGCACAAAATGAAGCCAAGATTGCCCCAGTTTAAACCAACCTTTGGGTTCTCCACCACCGTTAGGGCTCAGATTTGTCCAGAAGATGCTGTGATTGATATGGCCCCCACCGTTGAACTTTAACGCAGGCTGCAGAGCTATCTGAGCTGTAACATCACCTGAAAGGTTAAAATACGAACATATTTTCTTTAAATTCTTGCTCTTTATGGCAACCCACTCCAGTATTCCTGCCTGGAGAATCCCATGGACAAAGGAGCCTGGCAGGCTACAATCCATGGGGTCGCAAAGTCAGACATGACTGAGTGACTGAACAACTGGTCCCAAAACTTCACCATTTCAGTATTTTACCAAAAAAAAAAAAAAAAAAAACAAACCCTTCCCCAAATTATGTGTCCCAGTGAATTTTCAGTTCAATCAATAATGTAGCAAACAGCTAGTGGGCAAGAGTGGCAAAGCTAGTAGAAAATTCACTCCTGGGCTTCAAAGAACTCGGTTTTCTCAAATAGAAAAGATTTCAGTAAATGACCTAACAAAGAAAATAGTGGAATGCTATAAAATAGATGGTTCCATATACAGGCTATATGGAAAATGTTCAACTCTCATTCTCTAGATAGACAACCACCTACTAGCATGGTTATACTACCAAAAAACTCAACTTATTCAAAACTGAACCGCTGATCTTCAACCTCAAACTCTTTCGTCCAAAGGCCTCCCCCATCTCAGTGAGTGCCAGCTATTTGCTCAGGGCATTTCTGATGACATGGTGATTTGTAACTCCTTTCCTCTCACAGCCCTCATCCAACCCAGCAGCAAAGCCAGAGAATATCCAGAACCTCATCCCTTCCTCCAACCTCCATGTCCCTGTCTCCCACTATCTCCTGCTTCCACACCCACCCTACAGTCTATTCCCAACAGTGGTCAGAGGGCTTCTCTAAACCTCAAACTGATCATGGCACATCTGGGGTCAAACCCCTCCGCAGGCTGCTCTTCTCAGAGTGAACCCCAAGTCCTTACAATTGCTACAGGGGTGCGCGTCATACAGCCCTCTGCATCTCCCTGCTGGCCCGGCTCAGGCCACAGCGGCCTCTCCGGGCACTTAGATAGCCGGCCTGGCACGCGGCCAGCTTAGGGCTTCCACTGACTGCTGCAGCCTTTGCTGGAACACTCTTCCTGACAGCCTCCGGGTTCAGCCCCCATTCCCTCTCAAGCCTCCACTGAAGCATCAACCACATCAGAAGGCTTCTCTAACCACAATATGAAATGGGCAATGCCCACCCGCCTCCAGACCACTTCCCCTACTCTGCTTTCCTCGATAGGACTTCAGCCCAACACACTGCACATTTTCTTATTCACGTCTCTCCATGGAAGGAGCGCCCCAGCGAAGACATGGACTTCCGCGCACTGCTGTGTCTCTGAGGCTCAATGTATCGCCTTACAACATAGCAGGCACTCACGATACTAAATGGAGTTTCTACAGAAAAAGAATTCTGACCTCTGTACTTTAAAAAGAATGGCATATTTGCAGCTGTTTTTTCTACCTTGCCAAACATGGAGGCAGAATAAGATATTTTTTTCTACGCCTTGAAGAAGGTACAGACTAACAAAACTATTAGGAAAGATGGGAATTTCCTTATTCAGTACTAAGTTCTTATGACTCACAAGATCCCAAAGTGAAGGACACAGAGAACCAAGCAGAACTCTGCCCTTGGGGAGCTTATGTAACAAAAGAAGTTTTCTATTTCTGTTGTTAAGGTGCATGCTAAGAACACACATAAGAAATAGTGCTGTCTGCAACAATAAAGCCTCCAGTTTTTAGCAATTCAGAAAGGAGAAGGCCAATGATATCTAAACACACAGATAATCTTTGAGAGTTCTGTTTAAGATACCAACTTTTGTCGCTATGCTTACAAGATAATTTCCTGACAGATCAGTGTTTCCCTTACTAATTTTTCTTGGAGAATCACTCTAAAAATAAATACAGAATTTATATTGTTTTTTTTTTAACGCCAACAGTAACTATTTCTAATGGAAAATAAACTTACTTACTGAGAACTAGTTTCATTACAATCTCCTAAAGTTTACATAAGCATTTTTAAAATTTTAATAGAAATTTGGGGGGATTGATATCTGCTTTTAAGAACATTTTCCTGAAGCTCAACATTTTCTTTGGCTTCACTGTAGTTTTTTTTTCCCTCTGTTGAATACAATAAAAGTCAAGTATATACTTTTGTTTGAAAAGTATTTATGATACTCACCTGTGATAAAATTGACGATATTATTTTCCTTACACCTTTTTTCCCAAATTTTCAAACGTGAAAATGTAACTCCTTAATGGTTTTTAAAATATAATTGTTTAAATAAACAAAAGTGCCACTGATACTTATAGGCAACACAGTAGAATATATTGTGATAAAGTAAAGCTTTTTTCCCAGGGGCTTTCATTAAATAAGCAAAGCTTCTATTGCACAAGGACTGACATTTAAGATGTTTTTAAAATACTGAAGAGGCATTCATAGGTGTCATGTGTTGTCTTGCAGTTAATAAGTTTCACAACTGGGATTTACCCCAGCCTCTCCCCATTACCACATTCTTCCCGAAGTTGTTTTTTCCCTAAATCATAGAACCTCTTCCCGTACTCAGAACCTTTTTCTTTCCTCAGACCATCCCTCTGATGGTCACAAGTGAATCTTCCAGAATGTGGTAACTTCCTCTTCTTTTTGTTTACCTAATAACCTCACACACAACCAGACTGAAATGCTGCCTTTTTCCACTAGATGTCCCCAGTCAACAAGCAGTCACTGCCTAAAATGCAATCAACCAGTTTCTCAGGGCTGAAAGTCAATTCGCAGATATATGAAATCTAGAAAACTGGTACTGATGAATCATGGGCAGGGCAAGAATAGAGACGCAGATGTAGAGAAGGAAGGGACTCGTGGACAGGGCGGGTGGGAAGGAGATGGGGGGAGGAACTGAGAGAGTAGCACTGAGGGACATTACCACAGGTGAAATAGCTAGCTAGTGGGAAGCTCTCAGCTGGGTGCTCCGTGATGACCTACAGGGGTGGGTTGGGGGCAGGCTCAAGAGGGAGGGAATATAGGTATACCTATAGCCGATTCATGGAGAAGGAAATGGCAACCCACTCCAGTATTCTTGCCTGGGGAATCCCATGGACAGAGCAGCCTGACGGGTTCATGGGGTCGCAAAGACTCGGACACGACGGCGCGACTAACAACGACAACATAGCTGATTCATGTCCTTGTACAGCAGAAATTAACACAACATTGTAAAGCAATTATACTCCAAATTAAAATAAGTAAAACGGGGAAAAAATTTTAGGAAAAAAAAATGCACTTTTAACTGTGTTGCTTCAGCCACACGTACAGCCTGGAAACAACGGTTTCCCTCATGCAAAAATGTAATAACTATTCTGTATAGAAATGTTAAGACGTCGTATTCCCTTAGACGGCCCCAGACGCAAAACACAGAGTTCATGCACTATGGGTTGTCAACTGAGCTCCTCTAAAAAAGAAAAACACCAACTCCGTATTATATTTTCACTCAATTCAAAAGAGTGGCATACAAATGCAAGCCTGGGTTCCCCCACGAAACGGCTGTTCTCCCTGTGAATTCCGCCCCCAGGTCCACGCGCGAGCGCGCGCTTGGGTTCTGCCCGGCGCCGGGGGGCACTGGTCTTTACCAGGCACGCCTCGCCGCGCAGCGCCCCGCCACCGGCTTCCCAGAGCCCGGCCGCCCGGCACCCACCCTTCTCCAGCGCCTCCCGGTACTTCTCCTCGGCGACGTTGAGGTTGTTCACGTAGGCCGCGTGGTGCTTGCTGTGGTGCAGCAGCATGATCTGCGCGTTGATGTGCGGCTCCAGGGCGCCGTAGTCATACGGCAGGTCGGGGAGGCTGTGCTTCTGCCGGGAGCCCAGCGCGCCCAGGGCCTTCACCAGTCTCCTGCTCGTGCTGCAGAGAAAGAACACCCAGCGCGATCGAGCCCCGCGCGCAGCCACCTTTCCCCCGGGAGCGTGTCTCCGCAGCCCCGCGAGAGGACCCGCGCGCCAGGGAGGAGGAGGTCGGGGGTGGGGGGTGGGGGGTGGGGGGCGCCTTCGGACAGTCGGCCCGCCGCCCGTCCAGTCTCCAGTCTGAAACTCAAGCTGTGGTCCAGCGGACCCGGGTGCACCTGGACGCGCTCGGCCCACCACCTGCCCGCAGGCCGGTGCCCTGGACCCCGAAGGTGCTCCGGAACCCGCGGGGCCTGCGCGAGCGGGCCGGTGGGGGGCAGCGGCGCCAACCCACCGAGGCCCCCGCCGGGGCCGCGACCGACCGCCGCGCCCGTCGTCCGGAGCCTCACCTGCACGCCGCCCGGGACAACATGGTGGACGCCGCCCGTGGGCCTCTCGGAGATCGAGTCGCCGCGCCGCGCTGACCTGCGACGATGCGTTTGTGTCCCGGACTGCGCCGCAAGGACACCGCCGCCGCGGCCCCGCCCCCTGCGCCCGCCGCGGCCCCGCCCCCTGCGCCCGCCGCGGCCCCGCCCTCCTGCGCGCGCCGCTCCCAACTCGCGGGAAGTAGGGTGCGGGGCCCTGGGGACGCGAGAGAGGCCCGGCAGTCTCCCCGGCGGATGCGCGAGCCGCGGGGCCCCCCACTGCGACTGCGCGTCTCTGGGCGCGTCGCCAAAGGGAGGGCCGCTGTTTTCCACCCCCCAATCCCGGCTCCCCGAAAGAGATGGTACGGCTCTGAGCTCCGCCCCGTGAAGGCACCGCCCGGCGAGGCCCGCGGGTGGGGGACCTAGCCCCCGCGGGCTTGCCGGGGAGTTGCCCGCGGCTGCGTTTCCACTTCTTCCCGGACGCGGCCAGGGTGGGGTGGGGTCCGGGTGGGGGTAGCCTCGGGGTCCCGGTCCCCGCCCCCAGCCCCCAGCCCAGAGGAAAGACTCGTGTTTCTGGGAGCCGCATCGGAGCGCAGCAGTGAGCCGAAGCGGTCTCGCAGGAAAGAGCCCTGGTCCTGGGACGGTGTAGGGCCGGTGCCTCTCCAACCACTGCCCGGAGTGAGCGTCTTTCCGAGTGAACCGACCTTGGGACCTCCGCCAGGCCTGATAATAGTGTTACCGTGCACCCGCCACGTGCCAGGGACTGCGCTGCAGAGTTTACATACATTTACCTTTGTTTCACCCCTAGGATAGGCATCATTGATTCCCGCTTAATGAACCGGTTGCCCCGGTCACACTGTTAATAAGTGAAAGGTCAGGATTAGAACCCAAAGTTCATGCTTTGATTACCAGGCCTTCGCAGTCAAGTCTTGAGTGCTTGCTGGGAGAATATAAAAGAAGTACAACAGAGGAGTCTTTCCTGCAGTGTCCTATTTCTAATGAGCTGTTAAGTATCAGGTACTTTGTCAACAACTGGGGAAAAAAAAAATTCTGTAAAGAAATTAGAAAGTTTTACACTGTTATTGGCCTGAGTTGGGCCTTTCCTGAATAGAATAATATAGTAATAAACAGACAGATAATACGTGCTGAATAGTGTTTCAGTTACTTTCCTCCACCCCCTTCACAATTCCCACCCCACCTCTGTGCCAAGGATGACTAGGGAAACCAAAAGGGGAACCACTGAGCCTGGCTTCACAGAAAGGGTAGGGCTTGCTGGCAGTCAGGGTGAATGTAAGGGCATGCTACCAGATGGAGGAAATACAAGTTGGAACCAGGTAATGGATGTCCTTAAAACTCAAACATGTAATTGGTAACAGGAAACTGAAATGCATTTCAGCTGACATGAGGCATATTTAAAGTAGTTTTCCAGGCAAGGGAGTCTGCCATTGATTTAAGGGGCAGGCTACTTAAAAAACTGTTGTATAAATTCTAGCATGAGATACTAAGAGCTGGTTTTAGGGTACTGGCTATGGGAACTGGAATAAAAGCATTTGGAAGAATGAAATAACAGAATTCAGTGACAGCTCAGTTGCTAATAAAAAGGCTTGTTCTAGTGAGAACAAAATATCACTATAAGGAGATTGAGCCCAGTCAGGCCAAATCGATGTACTTCTTTTTTGTACAAGTGATACTTTGATATTTAAATTGAATTCCCACCCCACCCTCTCAGCAGGACATGCCCTTTTGAGCAAGCAACAAAGGCTGGGGTGTGGGGAAGTGAGATTAGTGTCTCTAACATCATATCTGTCATCAGCTACATCCTTCCAGAAGACACCCCAACTACGAGAGTGACCAGAATTGAGACCAGGGCTTGGGGGCTGCAAGAGGTAATGAAAATGTCTTACATCCAGTAAATGGGCCTCTTTTTCTTTTATAGTTGACCATTATCAGTTCAGTTCAATACAGTGGCTCAGTCCTGTCCAACTCTTTATGACCCCACGGACTGCAGCATGCCAGGCCTCCCTGTCCATCACCAACTCCCGGAGCTTGCTCAAGCTCGTATCTATCCAGTCGGTGATGCCATCCAACTATCTCATCCTCTGTCAGCCCCTTCAATACCCCCGTCCTGCCTTCAATCTTTCCCAGCATCAGTGTCTTTTCCAGTGAGTCAGTTCTTCGCATCAGGTGGCCAAAGTATTGGAGTTTCAACTTCAGCATCAGTCCTTCCAATGAATATTCAGGACTGGTTTCCTTTAGGATTGACTGGTTGGATCTCCTTGTGGTCCAAGGGACTCTCAAGAGTCTTCTCCAACACCACAGTTCAAAAGCAACAATTCTTTGGCGCTCAGTTTTCTTTATAGTCCAATTCTCACATCCACACATGACTACTGGAAAAACCATAGCCTTGACTAGATGGACCTTTGTTGGCAAAGTAATGTCTCTGCTTTTTAATATGCCATCTAGGTTGGTCATAGCTTTTCTTCCAAGGAGCAAATGTCTTTTAATTTCACAGCTGCAATCACCACTATAAGACGTACTCATTCAACTGACCCAAGGAGTTAGATTACAGCTGACTGGAGTCTGTCCCAAATTCCTCCAGTCAGCTCAGAATGTCATCTGCCACATCAGGGCACCATAATTGTGGATTTCCCATCAACAAACTTCCCAAGACTACTTCACAGACATCTCAGACCCACCAGAATCTAGATCAACATATTGGCTGAAGAAGGAAAAATGTAGGTTGAGATGAAATCCTTTGGAGTCAGTTATTAAACAGATCCAGCTACAGTGTCTCAAACCCAGAAGTGTGTATTCCCTCCTGTAAAAGAGATCTGGAGTGGGTAGTCCAGGGCTGGGATGACAGTGCCATGAAGTCCTCAGGGAACCAGATTCCTCTGTCCTCAGAGTTGCCTCATGATCCATGATAGCTTCTAGAGCACCAGCCATCTCACCCCCTCTCCATGAAGAGGGAAGGACAAAAGGTTGACCCCAGCTGTCTCCTTTCAAGGATTCTCCATGGTAGCTTCACCCAACAAATTCCAATCAGAATTTCGGTAGAAGGCTGCACCTAACTATAGAGGAGACTGGGAAACATTCGTTTAGCAATGGCCATTCCCAGTGTTAAAAAATGTAGAGTTCCTTAACAACAGGGAAAATGAATAATGGATTGGAAATTAACAATCTGCCACATATCCTTCTACAAGATATATTTTCACATGCTTAGTAATGAACTCGGACCATTTATGGAATGACTCTAGCTACATTCTCTCCTTTTTCTCTCTCACTCTTCCTCTTCACCCCTTATACCACAAACCTTACCCAGGCAGGAATCTCAGTGAGAATTGCTCCACCAACTTTCCCTTTTGCATAACTGAGATTGCTAACAGGATCAAGTTGTTGTTGTTTTATTGTTGTTTAGTCGCTCAGTCCTGTCCGACTCTTTGTGCCCCATGGCCTGTAGCCCACCAAGCTCCTCTGTCCCTGGGATTCTCCAGGCAAGAATACTGGAGTGGGTTGCCATTTCCTTCTCCAGGAATAGGACCAAGAGTAGTACTTAAATTGCTGAAATGAAATCAGTGATCTAGGCAAAGAGAGAAAATGATGGGAAAGATAGAAGAGCATTAACAAAAGTTTCAAAGTGAGCTCCCCACCCCACAACATCAGGCTAATTATAACTAAATTGCATCCTCCAAGAATGCATTAACTCCTGGAAAGGAAAGGGGAACATTGGCTCAGAACAGAAGTGTTTTATTGAACAAGGTAGGTAGTCAGAGACAACAGTTCAATTCCTGGGTCAGGAGGATCCCCTGGAGAAGGGATAGGCTACCACTCCAGTATTCTTGGGCTTCCCTTGTGGCTCAGCTGGTAAAGAACCTGCCTGCAATGCAGGAGACCTGGGTTCAATCCCTAGGTTGGGAAGGTCTCCTGAAGAAGGGAAAGGCTACCCACTCTAATGTGCTGGCCTGGAGAATTCCGTGAACTGTATAGTCCATGGGGTCCCAAAGAGTCAGACACAGCTGAGCAACTTTCACTTACACTTTTGGGCTTCCCTGGCATCTCAGATGATAAAGCATCCACCTGCAATGCAGGAGACCTGGATTTGATCCCTGCGTCAGGAAAATGCCCTGGAGAAGGGAATGGCAACCCACTCCAGTATTCTTGCCTGGGAAATCCCATGTAGAGAGGAGCCTGGTGGGCTACAGTCCATGGGGTCGTAAAGAGTCGGACACGAATGAGCAACCAACATAAAGGGAGAAAGGAAATGAGGTAATTGAGCAGATCCTCAGTTCTGGCACCATCAGACCCGGTTCTGGTGCTGGGTCTGATGCTCCACATCCTCTCTTAATTCACAACATCTCTGTAAAGTGACTTATTATTTCTCTTTTGCACAAAGGTAGTAAGTAACTTCGGCTTCCCTGGTGGCTCAGTGGTAAAGACTCTGCCTGCAATACAGGAGACCCAGGTTCGATCCCTGGGTTGGGAAGATCCCCTGGAGGAGGGCATGGCAACCCAGTCCAGTAATCGTGCCTGGAGAATCCCCATGGACAGAGGAGCCTTGTGGGCTACACAGTCCATAGGGTCACACAGCGTCAGACACGACTGAGGCCGCTTAGCACACACACACAGTAAGTGACTTGACCAGGGTCACACAGAGCCAGCAGATAGCAGAGCCCGGCTTTGAATGTACTGCTCTCCCTGTTAACCCTAACATCACTGTGCCTTAAAACAGCCGCCATGCCCCCTGCCCACCACATTCCTTGCGCTCAATAGAACTGAACTCAACCCTATTTTGTTTGTAGTTCACTGTTTGAAACTTGCCCTTCCTATGCTGTGTCCCAGCTTATTCCTGTCTTCTCAACTGCTGATGATCTCCAGCCTCTTCTCTTGCATATGATTCAGGTCCTAGCTCTTGAACCTGAAGCTTGAACTGGTCCTCTGTTCTCTCTTGGCTCATTTGCCCCTTCGATCACATTTGCTCCTTAGCCTCAGTGAAGACCCAGCTTCCTGG